ACATTAAAAATTTTTTAAGAAAAAAAAGAAAAAAAAGAATAAAATAAAATAAAATAAATAATAGTGATTCAACTTTTGATATAAATCATTTTCTTTTCATTTTAAAAATGAACTCATTGCTCTTGTACAAGAAAAATTGATACTTTTAACTTTTTCTTAAAAAAATCTTTTAAATTTTTATTTTTTAGAAATTTTATTTTTAAGAAAAATTGATACTTTCAACTTTTCTTCAAAAATATCTTTTAGAAAATTTTATTTTTTAGAAATTTTATTTTTAAAGAAAATTGATACTTTCAACTTTTTCTCAAAAATATTTTTTAAAATTTTTATTTTTTAGAAATTTTATTTTTAAGGAAAATTGATACTTTCAACTTTTCTCCAAAAATACTTTTAAAAATTTTTATTTTCAAGAAAAATTGATACTTTCAACTTTCCCTCAAAAATATTTTTTAAAATTTTATTTTCAAGAAAAATTGATACTTTCAACTTTTCTCAAAAAATATATTTTTTTATTTTATGTTCAAAGGAAATTGATACATTCAACTTTCTTTCAAAAATATTTTGTTTAAAAATTTTATTTTCAAAAAAATTGATACTTTCATCTTTTTCCTCAAAAATATTTTTTTAAGAATTTTTATTTTAGGAAAATCATTGAAAAAAAAGAACAAAAATAAAATAAAATGAAAAATAAAAAAAATTAAGGAATACCAAATAATTCTAATAATAATAATAAATAAATAAATAAATAAAATAAAATAAAATAAAAAACCTTGAAACGGCTCGGTTCGACAGCTCGGCACCAGACACAGAAGCGGCTAAGAGGGGTGGCTTAAGTGGTTCGGCTCGACTCAGGTTGGCTTGAATATCGGCTGGCACATGGGTTTGCGAATTGGGTCGAGTCACCCATTCACAAAACGCACAGATCCTAGGTTTATTAATGCCCAAAACGACATCGTTTTATGATACTATAAAAGGCTAATTTGGCCTTTTTTCAACAGAGTTCTCTTCTCCCCTCTCTCTACTCCCTTTTACTCTCTTTCTTTCTCTCTCTAAGTTTCCCAAGAATACTGGTGGAAGCTCATTGGATTCTAGAAAATATGATCGAAATCTAAGTTGTTTATCAGAAGTTCACCAGAAAGTTTGTTGGTTTATGGAAATGTTATGCCGAAAACTGGGTAACTGGTCGACAAATTCAACTGGCGTCGAAAAAGTCACCGAAAAATTTAAATTTCATCGAAAATTCAACCGAAATCTAAAATTTTCAAAAATTTCTCAGAAAAATCACCAAAAAAAGTCCTAAAAATCTTAAGATTGCTTCTAAACCTTATTTACGCCCTTTTTGTTTTTCGTTGCTCTCTGTGTGTTTCTTTGTCCCTCTATTCTGTGTTCTAACATCTGTTTATAGGATTGATTAAAAAAGTTTCTAATCAATCTTAATTCCATATGAGATTGAGATTTAATCTTTGAATCAATTCAAACTCTATCGACCCTCAGATTTATGACAAAAAAATTTCTTCTAGAACAAAAATCATATATAAAAATAATAATAATTAAAACAAAATTAATATCAGATAAACTAAAAAATAATAATAATAAATAAATAAATAAATATGGGTTTTATTTGAATTAGATCCAATTGATTTGAGTGTAAACCAAATTAAATATCTATAAAGAGAATTTTCCTTGCACATGCATGTTTCTTTGGTATATAAAAAGAGAGGATTTCGTGTACAGCCTATACAGTTGAAGAAAAGTCAACTTTGCAGGTCACACTTTAACATTTATTGGATAATCAGAAAGTCTAATTTGGAATGCGCCATGTTGCACGCACATGATTAATGGATCAAAAAGAAATGTCTAATAATTGAAGTTTGATAGATATAAATATGTGGGATACCAATCAAACCAATAAATTAAACATGATCAAGTGCGAGCTAGCATGCAAAAATGTTAATAAAAATGCATGAAAATCATGGGCATATAAGTGATTTGAGGTGGGATTTCTTTATAATTTGTGTTATTTCTTCTATTTCTAAGGAAGATTTTCTTTTCTTTTTTTGGAAAAAAAATTGAAAATGAACTTTGAATCCAAAGTTGAAAGAGGTCAAGAGTCCATTTTAGGTCTTGGGACTGCATATGAATTTTGTGGGACTGGAATTTTGTATGATTTAATCTTAAAAATTACATCAAATATTGCAGGAAAAAAAGTCGTTCGATTCTTTGCCAGTTGAAATATGTACACATTAGGTCACAATCGGTAAGCATGATGGGTGAGAGATGGCTGTCAATGTAATATATAATCGTAATTCAGTTGCTTCACTTTTGAACAAATGCTCATGGAATACCATAAAATCAAACAAACAGTTGTCACTATCCCCAGGAGACTACTCCTTTTTATCAGGAAAAATACAAAAATTCCATGGGCAGGTGATGGACATGCATGGTGGATGGTGGTCACACACAGCTCAGACTAAGCCATTCTCAGTCCCCCAATTCAAAGGGTAGGAAACCTTACACCCTTTACACTACTCATGATGTCATGTTCCATTGCCATTCATTATAGCTAAGGATTCTTCCTTTGCCCAGCTTCTTCTTGTGAAAAAAAAAATCCCATTATTTCTTCTAATTTTCTCAATCTCTCTTTCCACTTTTGTGTTTGTTGGCATCCTCTTTTCATTATTGGTTATTCTTCGAGAGGTTTTCTTTCTTTTTTTTGTTTTGCTTCCCTAATGTCAATAAGAACACTATGATAAGGAAATGCCTGAGTTAAAGACTCGTGGGACGTTTGAAGGAATGGTCTAATGGGACAAACTGACCAAACAAACAAAAACAGATGACAAACGGGACAAAAGGATAGGCAACCGGAAAACTGCAACAAGCAGGATAAGATTTAAAAAAAACCCATCGTACGTCTCTTTTTTTTTTTTTTTTTGCTTTGAGGATAAAATATCAGGAATTTGGCAGCAATTTTTGAAATATGAAATCAGAAATCCAATGCGTTTTACGATAAGATGCTTATTGGCTTTGAAGGTCTTAATAAACTGTACTATATCATTTCTTAAGATACAAAAATTTCGAGATTTTTAATTGGTGACTTACATTTCAATCATAACTAACACCTAAAGACCAAGAACTTAGAAATAAACCACTTGAAGTGACAGGGAGGAGTAGATTGATCATCACCTCTTCCTTGATTTATGCAAAGAAGAACATGTTAATTAGTAATTAGGACTTTTGGTTTATGAATTCGGTTTGTGAAATAGAATTTGATATGTAAAACTTTTTATAGCAATGACGAATTTGAGAGTACATTGTTCAGTTCCTTTTATGAGAATCTCTGCTTTAAACAAGAGGTCATGACATTGAGATACTGTGCTAGTTCCTTGGAGTTGGCAAGAAGGGATGGGTCACTCAAAAGAGCCTTGCCTTCCGGATCACGTCATAAAAAAATGTAAAACAATTTCTCATCAAGGTAAATTGAGACAGAATTTTGTTGGGTAATATAGTTACTTTGAACTGAAACCTAACCTACGTAGAATTTGTATATTAATCTAGTAAGAAGAGGACTGGGGTAGGTGGACTTAATCGTGAAGAAAGGGAAGGAAAAGGAGGGGACAAGAAGTTGGAAAAATGGAATCTCCAACGGAAGAGATTGTTATTTGTTGGTGAGAAAGGCCACCGTCCCATTTTCTTAAAGCACCTTCCACCCTTTTTTCGGTCAACTTCCTTACTGATACAAAATTAATTTTAACTCCCAAGCATTGCTTTTGGACCTTTTTTAATACAGCATTTAAAATACTTGAGTCAAATTCACTGATGATCCATAAGTTTTTTTATCAGTTTCATCAATTTTATTTATGATCAATCACATATAAGACCCAGCCCAAAATTTTAATTAAGACTTAAACTGCGATCATTCCAAAATTTTGATCTTATTACCTGAAGGCAAACCAGTTTTAATTTGGCTTCTAATTGGCTTTAGTTAGAAATATTTTTTGATCCAAAGGCAAACTGATCATTTCTTTATTATAAATTATTAGCAAATAATCATGAGTATTTTTAATTTTGAGTCAATTTGATATGTTAAACTGATATGATATATAGTATTACATCAATTTGATCACAGTATCAACTTATCCTATGAGTTTCTTACATTTTATCTGTAAATAAAATCATTCAAATATTATTTATTTAATTTGTTATCTCTTACTTTTTTACTTTTTTTTTTTTTCTATTTTTCATAACCAAAATTTGATTTGAACGTCAGAATATAAATATAAAAAACATTTCTTATCTTTGTTTTTAACCACTTTCTTTCTTATAATTTCAAGATTTGGTCCCTCAACTTTAAACTTGGCACTAACAACTCCGTTTGAGAGATGAGATATAGGCTGTAAAAGTGTGTGTTGTCCACGTGAAAATATTAAAGGAAAAATAAGGGCTGATAGCAATTGCAAGCCCAATGTGTTTGATCACAGATGAATGGGCTTTTGGGTAGTGATGTTTAGTGGGCAGAAAATAACCATTTAGTTGACTCATGTTTCACATTTTAGGTGTAATGAAACAAAAACACAACCACCAAACATGCAATTCTGATAAAGCAGATACAAGGAAATCAATTTCGTAAAGGACAGTCCATTCGCATTAAAAATAAAGTAGGTTCGAATGGGTTGAAGTTGTATTTTAGTGGGATACATTTTGCATGAATCAGTTCTTTGACTTGTATTTGCATTTAACTTTTTGGTCTTTAGTTAAAGGAAATGAAATATTGTACTAATTCATTGTCAATTACACATGCTTTTATAAATTCAAAAAAAAAAAAAACCCATGTTTTTATCTTTATTTGATGAAGTAATGTGGTTAGAAGATAATCCCTCTTGCTTGATTTGCATGGTTTCAGGCTTTTTAGTGAATTTTTTCCATAAAAAAAATTAAAAAACAAAACAAGTAAAATTGATCAAAATGCGAAAAAATTTGCTCAACCATATAATTATTAACTATTGACCTAAAAAAAACAAGTACAATTATGAACTAATTTATTTGGATTTGATCATTAACATTAATAACTCGAGCTTTTTCAATCCAAGATCGTAAAGAATCTGAGCTCGTATTAACCCAAATTATAATATTATAATGATAGAAAAATACCATGAAATTTGTTCGGCACACCATGAAATTGAAAAGTGAAATTGCTGAATAATGAGATCATGGAACACCAGATTCGGAAAATGAGAAACTTTTCCGACAGGAAATTACTAATAAAACCATAAGAAAAAACAATAGAAAAAGGTTAAATTGATCGGTTCGCTTGAAAACTCCAGCTCCTTTTTGTAACTAAGACACTGTTCTTTGTTAGCTCCACTAAAAAATCCACCCATCATGTCTCCCTTCAAAACCACCTTTATTTTTCTAATCATCATCGTTTTGATAGGCGTAGTCGCCGGAAAGACCCACGTCATCAATTTCCGATGGCAAAACCTCTACCCAGAAGGCATGGCCTGGGACCCATCTGCCCAGCACTTCATCGTGGGCTCTCTAAACCAGCGTACAATCCACTCCGTTTCTGATGCAGGCGTTGTCGAAACTCTAATTTCCGACCCAACCCTTCCAGAAAACGTCACCGTTGTAGGCCTCGCAGTTGATTCCACCAAAAAACGCCTCCTCGCTTGCCTCCACTCCATTTCGCCTCTCCCTCCTTTCGACGCCCTCGTCGCCTACGATCTCCGCACCCGCCGCCGCCTCTTCCTCTCCCTCCTCCCCTCCGACCCCGATTCCTCCATCTCCTCCACCAGTCGCAGGCGGGACGTCGCGAACGACGTTGCTGTCGACTTCAAAGGCAACGCCTATGTCACTAATTCGGTCGGGAACTTCATCTGGAAAGTCAACGAAAATGGAGAGGCATCGATCTTTTCTAGATCTCCGTTATTTAGCCGTTACCCTTCTGTTATGGATCAAAACCACCCGTTTAACGATTGCGGGCTCAACGGAATCGCTTACGTCAGCAAGGGTTATTTATTGGTGGTACAATCCAATACGGGCAAGATGTTTAAGGTCGATGCGGACGATGGGAGAGCCAGGTTAGTTTTGCTGAACAAGGATTTGGTCATGCCAGATGGAATTGCGATACGGAGAGACGGCGTCGTTCTGGTTGTTTCCACGCAAAAGCTGTGGTTTTTGAAGAGCGATGATAGTTGGGGGGAAGGTGTGGTGTATGACGAAACTGCCCTTGATGTGGAAGGCTTTGCTACCTCGGTTGTAGTGGGGGAGGAAGGTAGGGTGTATGTGTTATATGGGCATGTCCTGGAGGGTATAATGGGGAAAGGGGAAGGAAGGGAGAGGTTTGAGATCGTGGAGGTGAGGTCTGAGAAAGAGAGTAGTGGGGAACATGTTTGGGTTTTTGTTTTGGTTGGGTTTGGTTTGGCTTATTTCTCATTTTGGAGGTTTCAAATGAGGCAGCTTGTTAAAAACATGGACAAAAAAACCAATTAACTGCTTGCCTCTCTCTTGTAATTTTGTTATTCGTATATGTACGAGAGTTTCAAGGCTTATATTTCAATGAGATTAAAAATAATAATAATTATTATTATAATTATAATTAAAAAAATTATTATAATTACGATTAAATAAAAATTTTATATCAAATAAATTTTATTAAAATTAATATTTAAATTTAATTAATGATATAATAAATTTAATTGCATCTTACCTCGAATGTAGTGAAATCCAAATCTGGGTTCAGTCTCCCTGGCTGTACTAATTCCTTTCATGTTTTGAACGAACCGTGGACAGAAATGAAATTGGGTTTTGTTTGATGGTTCAAACTTTGTATATACATCGCGCCCAGCGCCAAATTTTCCATCACAAAAATCCGAAATTCTCGTTTGGTACTGCTGGAGCTGGACTAGCCGCATACACATTCATTTATTTTCCAGGAAATGTCTTTCATTCAATCAGGCGTTAAGGGCTACTCTTCATGTAATGACCCATAATTTCAATGTATTAAGTGACATTTTACTTCTAGATTAGCTTAAGTAAATTGACAACATGAACGAACCTGTTACTGAGAACATCACAAAGCATCATTTGAAGAAGGGATATTCTTAAGGGTCGCTATTGCTTCCACCAATGGTCAAACTGTGCCTTCTGGAGGTGGCAGTGGCAAAGTTGGAGATTTTTTCTCCTTTGGTGACGGTTTTGTTGGAGACTCCATCCCATTCTCAGTTTTTGGCTTAGCTAGCCCAACCTTCTCCCTAAGCTCCTGAAGCTTCTCCATGATCTTTTTCCTCACTTCGGGTCTACTAAGACGAGCTTCGGCTGGTTTTGGAAGAAGGGTAAGACCAAAAACTTCAGCGGTTAAACACTGCATCATATCTCTTCGAGAAACAGCCAAATATTTTGTTGTCAATGATTTATGTCCTATCTCACACTTCACCTGCAAAAGAGACAGAATGTGTTTGGAGGTGTGTCCAACTGATGTCAAGAACTAGATGTAGATCTTTCCCTTTTCCCTTATGCCAAATGCATGCTGTTAGTTATCTTTTAGTGATTATCCAGATAAGTTAGAAGAAAATGATTTCACAAGATTCACTCTAGTTCTCCAAAACTTGAATCCAAGCAGAATTCTCAAGTCTGCATTCAGCAACAACTTTAGAAGTTCTAAAACTTACCTACATTGGCCGAAACCTATCAACAAACCTGGATTTTTTGACTGAATAAAGTAAAGTAATGTTAATTTTCAGCAGCTCTCAATAGTTGTAAAAACCTTACAAAACTGTCAAATTCAATATTTTTCATCATATGTTTATAGCTGAGAATTCAGGCATACCGTAATCAATTATAGAAACGATCAACAGCAATAACATGTATGCATTGAGAAACAAATATCCGAAATCAACCACAAAAATAGTCCATCAACTGCACTCTGTAAAATTTACAAGTTCTCTAAGTAATTTATCTAAGCATATGACATCCCTTTGTCGCTACACTTCTCAAACCAAAGTTAATAGGTTCCCAAAGAAAATTTATAGAAGAAAAGAAGCCATAATGCTGTTAATAGACAGATTTTGCAGTAAAACTTTAAGATGAGTAAATACACATTTCGTATGATCCACCACTTATCAAGATGACCATTCAAATTAGACAAAATATACTGATATCTCCCCCTTTCTAGTGTTCACAAGCATAAGCCCAACCAATTTCTTCAACAGAAAAATTGAAAGAAACATGAAAATAGAAATGATGACGAATAAGGAGATCAAAAGAACTGGAATTCATTGAGCACAGATTCAAACAAGAAACCAGAACACTGAAAATGCCAATCCAAATAGTAGTTTCTGACATCATACAGGCTCACCTTCAATGTGATATTTGCAGGTCACACCATATTATGAGCATCAAATACTTAAACAAAGTAGCTGTCAACTTTAAATTGTGATCGACCCACAACAATTACTGATAACCATAATTTTTGAAAATTTTCGGCTAATTTTATTCATCTACAATATGATATCCCATATGCCACATAACGCATCTTTGACTATAGCCATCTTGGTTATTAGACACAACAATCATGTTTTAAGCTTCATGTAACATACAACATCAAGCTTCGAATAATTATGAGACTGATAGACAGATGAATAGACGCTACAGTGAACAAGACAGAAACATTAAACTCATTTCATAGATGACAAAGACATTCCTAATTTTCAAAGGAAATGCAATCTAAGATGAGAAGATTCTGACTAACTAGTCATAACCCAATATATATATATATATATATAGCAAGTCAATCCTAATTGGTTCAGCTACCACTTTAGATCTAAAGCATCCAATTAACCCATAAGAAAATGGTTATACAATGATTTCACGAACTTGGATTCATAACTAAAGAAAGCAACAGACAATTGTAACTAGGCAAATGTGAATTCTAGCCAAAACCCATCAATGATCACATTTCTGTCCTAATAACTTCATTAAATTGTAAGTATAAAAAGGGTTAGAAAAAAAGGAGGGGGTGCATTGAGTCATTGACCATCAGCCTAGAAACTGGATATTTAGAAAGATCTTCAATTTAAACTAAAGTTTTTCACTTTTATTTTTATATTTGAACTCTGTTCCTCTCCATTTAGCTAGTAGCTAAAACGTCAATAGATTTAAAGCAAACGTTTCTGAGCAACAAACCTGAAGAGGAACAATAGCCGTCTTTATCTTTCTAGCAACATTAACTGATCTTTTGATGGTTTGTAAGGGTCCTTTTTCTACTGCAGGGGTAAGGGGGCTCCTCATCGTCTTCAAGTTCGAGGCTGCCATCTGTCTCTAGTATGTCTTACCGGCGGAGGAGCACCGTCGTCACTTCGGCTTTGATCTAGAGTCGACCACAAAGGATGGAGTCAAAGATGTAGATGGTGGTAAAAAATGTGACGTTTGGCAAAATTTATTTAGGTGAGGCCACCGTGGGCTTTTCAAAAACAAAATGGGCTGGACAGATTGGGCGGCTGGAAGGAGCCTGCATTGCTTGGCCCAATTAAAAACTCAACGCTCGAGCTTGATTTAACTTTATTTTTTACTACAGTTTGGCTCGAAAAATAATTGAACTCAAGTTTGACTTCAAAAACCAACCCAAGCCAAACTTGAGTAATTCATGAGTATCACTCTTTTAAACCCTTATGGGCGAGTGACAAAGGTTATCATTCGATCAAAATTCAAAGTTCAGATGATTTTTTATTCGAATCATAAAGTGTAGTTGCTTCGTAAATTATTATTATTTCAATGATTTGGCTTGTGTCAAGTTAAAATTTGTCGTTTTTAAATATAAAAATATAATAATAACTAAAATTGATAATAAAAAATTAATAAATATAATTTATAATCCCTCCATATGACTGTCTCAAATTGACACATTGAATCTCTAACCCAAAATTTTTATTTATAATGCATTTGAATATTGCTATCTTTCTTGGATAATTGGAGTAATTGAGTATTTATTATGGCATTAAAATATTATTTTTTTTTTTGCAGTTTCTAAAAATTTTAAAATAAGTTCTATCTTTAATTATATCCCATTAAATCTTTTAAATACTATTATTATTTAATTAACCCTTTATATGAATGGAAATGTTAAATTTTTTTTTTATTATATTAGCATATACGTGGTTATCTTTGCCTTATCAATGTTGCACGTCATATATGTGACAAAATAAGGACTTTTCTATAGATGTTAATATGACATGCACATGCCATATAGGCCATGGTACAAGCCTTGTAAACATCAATCCGCTATGAATTTTAATATTTGGTCACATAGATGTTGATGTCACAGACATAACATCATGTAGATGTTGCCGTGATAGTTATAATATCTTTTAACAAATTTCATGTAAAATAAAAGTAATATTTTAAGAGTTCATTTGAATACAACAAAGCGAAAATGAAGGATATTTTGAGAAATTAATGAAAGTATAACGCTTTTTTTGAGTAAATTCCATCAGACAATATTAATGACCCATATGCTATTTCCTTTTATTCGCAATATTTAAATTCTAATTTTGGATTCATATATTCTAAAAAATATTTTAAATTCATTTATTTCGTTATTTACAATAACATGAATATTCCTGTGACACAACTAAAACATTTATATAAATATCCATATGATATAAATTTCAGTTACATAGATGTTCACGTGACAAATATTCTAATCTAAACATTGAATGTTCATGTGACATAAAAAAGTGGACCCCTTTTAACTTATTGTGATTGAGATTTACGAAAGCAAAACGCTTAAAATTACTGCAATACAATAAAACATAAAAATATATTTTTATACCATGCAGAAAATATAGCATGCTCGGTGAATGAGACTGAGCAAGTGTAAAATCTAAAAACGTATGAGATTTTAAACATATCTTCTTTGCAACGTTAAAAGTATTATATACGTTCCAATAGGTTATTACAAATTAGTAAATTACACTTTGAAGCAAAAATATATACAAATATTGCCAATAATTTATGTTTTGTTGTATAAAAACCCCTTTTTAGCTTAAAAGATTTTATGCTATAATAAGTGTTGTACACAATACATTTTGCAGCAATTTACATATGTATTAAAGTTATAAAAATATAAATTTTTTTTGTATGATAATTATTAACAATATCCGTCTTACATGCATATATATATATATATATATATATTTTTTTGTTTGAAGTAATCACTAGCATATATTTATAACCATCTAAGAACACTGATATATTCATATAAATTGACAAAATTAAAAAAACAAATTTTTATCACAAAAAAGACATCTCAATATGAGAGTATTGAATTGAGAGAACATACCTTGGATTGGAAGAGATTTTTCAATTTAATCCTTTGAAACAGCTAGCTAGATTTATGTCTTGGGATGTTAAATTCCATGCAAATGCCTTCGTCAAATGTACAGTCCCTTGCCTATACCTCACTTTCGTTGTCAGTTTCGACCTCAAAATTTCTCTTATAGTTAGCATTAATTTTATTTCTTCCATCAATATATATATATATATATACACATATATATAAGGCCTCAGTTTTTATGGAAATTAACGTGAAATTTGGTTACTAGTGCTGGTGACACAATTGAAAATAAGAAAGAAGAATTCAAGGATTTCAAGGTTTTACTTGGATGAATAATTAGAAAGATTTTCATAGTAATACAGCAATTTTGATGCGACGAGAATTTTTTTAATCAAACAAAATTTAGATTAAATTTTTAAGTGAAATTTATAAAGTTACTTATTAAAATGATTTAATAAAAATTTTAATAAAAAATCTAAATTGATAAATTGATAGAGTTTAATATAAAGATTAATAATATGTAAAAATATTAAAAATATTATTTATAATTCAAATTTTATCGATATGTATTTAATGATAAAAATTCGATCAAATTTTTTATTAAAAAAACCCATCTACAAAATAAATCAAAATTTATTAAATTTTTTATTCAAAATTTATACACTGACCCTTTAATTTATAAATTTTAATTTTTAGTTTTAATTTTTATTTAATCATTTTTAATATAAAACTTCGTAAACCTCATCTAAATCTTTCCCCTCTCACCATCCATCTAAATTAAATATAAATATATCTTTAATGTTACCTTTAACTGAGTTTTACTCATGTTGTATATCTTTCTAGAAAGAAGTCCTTCCATGTCGGATCTGCACCATTTGACAATTCAATTTTTTTTTTCACCTTTTTCAAAAAGATTCCAAATAAATCACTGGGCAGCTATCATAAATTGTGATATCAAAGTCTAAACTCAATATTGGTTGGTCATTGTTGGTAAAAAATGGAAAAAAACAAAAAATCACATGCATTATGGCTGCAATGCCTAAGAAGTAGGTGATCAAATCAAATGTCGAACACACCTTTATCCTCCCATCTTGCCAACAGCCACCCAACGAATCAGAAGAAATTATTATAACCAAGCTTTTTTTTTTTCTAAAACAAAAAAAAAAACCCTCTTAAGTAAGTGATTTTTTTTTAAAGTAAATATAAGATTTTATTAAAAATCAAGAAGCTGTTACAGCCATGTTACAAAATCACAAGTTCGATCCACTTTCTCAATTAAAGTCATGATGATATTTTCTCAATCTAATAGGAGTAAATATCTTCTACAATCTCAAGAAATAATTAAATAATTAAACCAAGTAATTTCATTTGCTAAAAGAAACCCTAGAGTGATGATCAATGGCAACAATCTACATAAATATATGTATATATTGTGCATCTACCTCAAAGTATAGCATGTATGTTACTTTCTAATCTCTATATATCATCGATATTATTGTGTCGTTTCTTTAATTTCTTGACCTAAATTTTTTATTTGAAATTACCAATAATTGAACCATAATTTCTTAAATTAAAAATTTAATACTCTATTAACAAATCACATAATTGATGTTAACCTATTTCGTTGTAATTTCATAGAAGACATGTTAACTAATGATATATCTACAATCTACAAATAAATCTCACTTTTGATGGATTAGGATATATATATATATATATATATATTTATATATATGGGATGCTTTTGTTAGGTTTACTTATTTTATAAATCGGAGTGCTTCAAAATAAAAGCAAACATGCACAATTTCTAACAGGTAAATGGGAAAAAAAATTAGATTCATATTTTAGACCAAACAAAATGGCCTCTATAGCAGCTGCTACTTTCCGTTTACTTCCTAATTCCCATATGGCAATTACCGAGATGCAGTAATCAAAATTAAGTTATATATAAACCAACAGGATTTATATGCCTTGAAGGTTATAATACAAAATTGAAGGAGAAAGTGGATACCAGAATCACCATGATTTTATGCCTAAATAAATCATAATATCGAGAATCAAATCAAAACAATCAGCTGTTAGCCATTTTCTAGAGAATTGAGATTGTTATTGAAGAAGTTATGGGAATATTTGGACTAATCCAGTTTATTCAATTTTCAATTAGGGTTTCCATGATATCAGTCCTAACTATATGTGCAATGTTCAGGTCGAACAGACAATGAAAAACAGGTTAATCCGCAAAAGACTGCTCACTTGACAAGTATAGCATGGAATTCACTCACCCGATCATCAATAACCATCAACATATCTTATCATCTAATTATACTCCTTACGATCTAGGGTTGAAGTTTGAACTGCCATCATAAAACCAATATGGTGAAAACAACATTCAAAGAAGAAACTTGCGATAATTTTAAAATTTAATAAACAAACATAAATCTAGATGATTAAGAAGAAGAAGATATACCTAAAATAAGCCCCGAAGAACAAAGAGACCAAGTTTTAAACTATGAAGTTAGCTTGTTATGGGATAAGGTTTTGAACCATATTATATAGAGAAATAGTGAAGGGTAAAATATTTTCTTTATTTAATTTAAATGTACAAGGCACGTCACAGGAAAAGAATTGATGCTGTACCATTTGTTTGTTGGAGCATAAAAGAAATTAAAGAAAAGAAAAGAAAAGAATAAATTAATTACATTAATTCTGTTGTGTATATCTGCTACAATATTTGACACGTGATGAAGAGCTTTGACTAACGGGTGCATGAGGTTTTAACCACCAACAACATGGGATGCAGCTAGCTGCTACTTTGACACAGAATAATCAAACATAAACCCAAATAAAAATTATTTTGCAAGACCCTTCTTCTTTTTTGTCTTGTCCTTTTTTGTTTTTTTTAATGGTTATTCTCCCTAGCAGACTTTATTAACAATTTTATTATCACTGTTTTCCTTTTGAAAATTTGGAAAATTTTTTGTCCTATTGAAAACTCCTATGTTTGTCAGTTTGTGAACTGAAGTGAGAATTGGAAGAGTTTTTTTGGTCTAATTTTTCCCCTTTTGGAAAATAGAGTTAATTTTGAAT